GAGAGAGAGAGAGAGAGAGAGAGAGAGAGAGAGAGAGAGAGAGAGAGAGAGAGAGAGAGAGAGAGAGAGAGGCAGAGGTTACATCGGGCCATGAGGCCCGGGATCTGATTCGACAATTTGTGGCAGACATTGATTGGACATTCGGCAGGGAGACTATTTTTGGACTTCGCTATCCCGATCTTCGTCTTCTCCCTCGCCTCCATCTTCGTCTCACCTCTCCCCTATCTCCTCATCCGTGGTATCTTCCCATGTGCGTGCTCAAAGGAGGGACCTTTCTTCCACATATGCGGCTCCTCCCCTCTCTCTCACATGTGTGGTGTGTGATGGGGTGTCGCGTCAGTATCTGACAGGTCAGGTCATATATTTGAGTCTTCCGTTGCACTACATTGTGCTATTTTCGTATGTATCTGGATGTACATTGCTTGTTGATGCTTTGCTGACGCTGCATTGTCCATTCGAGTCCTTTTCATCACTTTGTGGATCCTTGGCTCCATATACATCGCTCGATTGAGCATGTATCACCTTGCCTTGACCTTTGATGGTCGCTATCCTGCCTTTTGCAAGGAAGTTCACCTCAAATTTTAGTTGGTGATCCTTGGCCTTATCTTCATCTTCCTTCATTTTCCTTTTTACCCCCTACGCCATAACACCCAGTACTCAGTCTGTAGTGACTCTGTACTTGCTTTTGGAAGATTCCCCAAGCCTCCTGTATGTGCATCCTCTGCTTATCTTTTGTCTCTTGGCATCTTGTCTTCCATATGACCCATAGTATTGCTTTTCTGAGTATCCTACAGAGGTTTGACTCTAAGGGGGACCAGTCCTCTGGGGTGTTCAATCCTAGGGAGTAGGAGTGTGTGGTTGCTCGTGAGTGCTGTATCTGTCATTGCCTCCCATCGCTTCCATACTTTCTCCCACATGTGCTTTGTTCTATAGCATAGGAAAATTCAGTGGTATAGATTCTATTAAATCTATTTGGTCGTGATCGCAGTTGGCACACAGTTCGTTTAGTATCTTCTTCTTCTTCTTCTTCTTCTTCTTTTCTTTTCTTTTTTTGCTTTTTTTTTTTTTTTTTGTAACCATAAGCAACCTGATTCGATGCTCGGGTTGCTGGTAAGAGAAGACACCACTAGCATCACCGGGGAGGCTCCGTCTATTGGTGGGGACCACCACCTGCTGGAAAGCGGGTCCAGCGTCCCTGAACATTGTAATTGATTGTTTAAAGTTTAAACTTTAAACAGACGAGTGATTGTAATGCCAACAACTTGCAGGATCGACCTGTAGCGATTGGACTCTGGCAGGTAGACCTACACAGTAGCCGGGGATGATTGCCTACATGGCAGCTTGAGATTGGTGGTAGTATGCACAGGGCCCATGGCTGCTTCCAAGCGCAGTAGAATTCTGTTTCTCTCTTTTACCCAGTAAACTATCCTCTCTTGTGTCATACATGTGGTCTGGCACTACCCCCTAAGATTGACTTCCCAGTTCATGTAGGCAGGCAGACCCCCCATTTCCCCAACCCCCACCCTTA